GCATGAGCATGACAATAAGACCAAATGTGGCCTAAGTAGGGATTGCGGGTTTTTTCCCTCCTGTGAAATTAAACTGATTCCTGTGAAATTCCTACATGATTCCTATGAAATTCCTGCATTCCAAATGTGGCCTAAGTAGGGATGTTTATACTGCACAGAAGAAATAACTCATAGGAAAAACTTACATGTGCTGCATATCCCAGAACAGCTGCAGACCTCTGAAGCTCCTTGTTCCTGTAACTTTTTTGCTTTATTTTATGCTTCATAATGTCCCAGCCAAAGAATGTCCAGCCACGTGCTTGTGGAGATTTGATAATGGTGGGTAAATGTGTTCCGTTTCCACCTGAAAACGTTCCATTTTCCTCTGGAAGTGCTCCATGCTCCCCTGAAATTGTTCTGACATCTCATAAAATGGTTTGAAAAGGCGATTTAGGAATCATTACCCCTCACTCTAAATTTCTCTTGTAGTATGCATCATGAAGATGTTTAACATAGATCCTTAAATAGAAATGTCACAAGCAAAATTGTATAAGAGCTGAGATGGAATTTTGAATGAGGAGCTCTTTGGAATGCATAACACAGGAATTAAGGTTGGTTGCTAATTTCAATCCTGATTCCTACATGAATTTATAATTCAAGAAAAATTCCAACAAAACATTTGGATGCAACATGAGAATTTAAGGAGAGAGAGAGAGATAGAAACAGAAGTTTCCAAGAGGTTCGACCTCACATTAATTTTCTCCAAAATTCTATGGACTGAGCCATTGCATAGGAATTTTGTATTTTGTAGGATTTTAGGATGTCCAATCATTTGTTCCGAAGGGACACAAAGGAAAAAGTTCCTATAGGACTCATATCCGACAAAATTCCTCCACCCAGCAGGAGCTGCGACCCTTCAGTTATCCCAATCTTTGGGGGTGCAGAGAGCAATGCCTCCAATTAGAATGGCATATCAGACACTGATGTAGACTACCAACAAAGGCATTGATGCCAAGGAGATCAGAACAGAAAACCAGAGATGGGGTGTTCATCATTAGATCATGGACTAGAAATGTAAACACTTCCATTCTTCCAATGAAATGAATATATCAATTAACACTATTGCACAAGGAAACTATCTTGCTCAACAGACTGAGGCTACTGAATAAAGCTGGTAATACAGCTTATCATGTGTCAAAAGGCAATGAATCTATTTGGCTACGATTTTTTTTCCCTCTCTCGAAGGGGCATGTGCACTAAAACATTGTTCTTGAAGAGAGGCATGGATTATCACCATTAGTATCAGCACAAGGGTTTTCTGCATGTCTTGGAAGATCATGGAAGATTCTCACAGGGTACAAACCAGCAACCTGGCTAACCATGCACTGCTGCCTCGTCCTAAGCAGCCTCTGCAGATTGTTAAGTCTGAATTTGTCTCCCGACAACGCCTCCTTCGCTTCCTGCAATCAGCAGACGCCCTAATGGATAAAATGCAGCTACCCACAATGGCTGAACCCAATCTCGCAGCATTTTGCGTCGCGCAGACGGAATGCTTATATTACCTGCACTCGCTGGTGCGCGGCGGTGAGGGCCCTCGATAGCGGCAGCACCCGCTCGATCTGCTCCTGCAGCCGCTCCTTCCCCCGCTCCACGGCCTCGAGCGCCCGCCTCCTGCCGACGACGGCCGCCTCCAAACGCGCTTGCTGGAGGTCCACTCTCCGCCTCAGCTCGTCCAGCTCCTCCGCCTGTCGCAACGCCTCCCTCCTTACCTGCCCGAGCGCCAAACCACATGAACAATAATAATAATAAATAAATCGAACCACGTCGTGACAGAAGGGGGCGATTGGCTCAAGCCATTTGAGGGCGTGGCACGGACGCACCTGGAGCGCGGCCTCGACGCGGGCTAGCTGGAATTCGACCATCACGGAAGTGGACGTCGTCAAAATGCCATCTCACAGTGGGTTTCGCCGGATCGTCATTATCAAACATAGCCACCATGTCAAAATACCATTAGAGAACTTTGTGACTCTTTTCTTCCTCTTCTGCCCCTGCCCCTTTCTTTTTGTTTCACAAGACGCTGCTCGGACGGAACGGAGGCGTCGCAAAACGGTGGCCATGTTGGCATGGTGGCATTTTGGCATTTTGGCATGGTGGCCATGTTTCATAACGGCGATCCGGCGAAACCCCGTTGCGGGATGGCATTTTGACGAAACCCATTTCCCATAATGGTCGAATTCCAAAAAGCCCCCTCGATGCGGCGGGCCAGGATCGCCCGTTCCTCGGCCGCGGCCTTGCCGCGCAGCTCCCGCCATGCGACCGCCACCGCTGCCTCCTCCTCCTCCACCACGACGCCCGGACCGGGCCCGCGCGGGTTCCCCACCCGAACCGCCGGACTCATCGCGGTCCTACAGTCGCAGCGGATGATGACGTGTGGCGGAGGGGAAGAGAACAGGCGGCGGCGGCAGCGCCCATGGCCGGTGAGGCGAGCCGGTGACGGCTGCGTCCGTCGAGACCAAGGCTCGCCCCAACGCCTACTCAGCGGAAACAGCAGTCAGAAAAGCGAAAAGCGGTGGCGTCACGGCGCGTTGCGGTCTTGCGGAGGGCGCAAGCGAGTGGTTGGAGGACGTGGGGCTGACCAAAATTTGTCGCTCCAAGAATTTGGTACATGATTTTAGCTATTGTTTGGTTCACTATTAAAATTTGTTAACCTCTTATATTTGACTTGTCAAATTCATAGTAAATCTTTTACCTAACTTTGACTTGCCAAATCTATGGTATGGCAAATTTTGGTCGCAAACCAACGAGGTCCGTGAATGCGATGCCGATGCGTGGGACGTGGGTTTGCCGTCCGGTTTGAGAGTTTGTCTCAGCGACGCAACGCGACGCGGACGCGGGGGATGGAAAAGGAGGGGGCTAGGGGCGCAGAGGGCGGGCCGCTGATGAGCTGGCCAGGCCCAGGCCACGCAGGTCTGGGGCCAGGGCCAGGGCCGGACTCGTGTACGCACGCGCGGGGACCGTGGATCTCACAGTTATGGTGTACCAGCCACGTTGGATAGCAGTTCGTGCCACAATGCTTCTCGTGGCTGGCTGGGGACGATGCACAATCGTCGGCAACCAATCCATGATGATCATGCATCACAGATCGCCAGGTGATGTGAGACAGTGAGGGACGCTCGTGCCCGGCTGCGTCGACGCCGACGACAACGCTGCCGTAGGCCGTAGCCCGGAGATGCGGATTTCCCCCTCGTACATTCGGATCAACGCTTTCAGCTCGGAGCGCAAATCTACAAGAGCGACCGCTTGACCGTCACAAGAGAAGCCGCGGCGGTACTGGGTCACAGCCAAACCGGAGAAGCATCAGAAGGCAGAAGCTGTCTGCTCCCACGAGGTCACCAGCTGCACCTCTCGCACCAGATTCCATTCGCTGGCGCCCACAAGGAAACCTGGTTCCAAATTGCATCAACTGCATCCTTTGGTCCCTACCTGGGCACTCAGCATACACCTGAACATTTCTGAACATAGGCCACAATGCACCACATGAAAAGGGCACGGGAAGCGGAAAATTCGAGTCGAAAGCAACATGGTCCTAAACCAGGATAATTTACATGACCAGATCCAAGGAGTCACAGCTAACAACCAGGTGTCCAGCGCAAACAGGGCTGATAACAAGTCTACAAATGCCAGTGCAATTGGTGGACAAGATTAGCAGAAGCAATATATCAATCCACGCCCCCGTAAACATCCGAGCAAATGGTGGGAAAACGACCACCATGCAGTGCAGAGCGACAGAAATTCTACAGTTCGACAACAGCTTACTGTCTTCACAGTACACATGGCAATTGGCATAATGTCATATCATCCGGAGACTAAATTTGCTTCAGTAGAAAGTTTCTGTAAAAGAAATAATAATACACCACAGAGTAAGATGTCAGACAGATTTCACCCACCAACAAGTTATACGAGTTAAAACTTAAACATAGTAGCGTAATGCTGGGCAAAGAACAGGCAACATGTGCAGCATTTTTCTGAAACGAAGAAAGTTTAAGCCATCAACACACCCCCACACACACACACACACACACATGACCATCTCCAAAATTAACTTATTCAATACAAATATAAAAGCAAAACTGGTGCTGAGGGAAGATAAATGCTTGATTCTGTGCTAAAAGGCGTCATTTCATGAATGACAGCTATACTGAGTCAGAAAAGTAGGACTTCGGGGAGCAACATGTTGTATACAATCAGCATTTGCGGTGTACTATGCAGGGTGGCTTTGTTTCAGGAACAAAATGCAAATGGAAACTTCCAAACTTCTTCTCAGCTTACTCATCATGAAACCTACAGAAATATTCTGACATACTCCATCTCAAAATGAGTGCACTTCAAGCTACAGTGCTTAGTCGATCCATTTTTAGTTTTTTTTTTCAAAAAATTACTAATATTTATGATATGTATCAAATAAGTATCATTAGATTCATCATCGAATACATTTTCATAGTGTACCCATTTGAAATCATGATTTTTGATACTACTACTGTACCTATTTGAAATCATAATTGTTGATACTACTGTCTATATATTTAGTTAAACTTAAAATAGTTTGACTTCAACCAAATCTAAAATTGCACTCTTTTTCAGACAGAGTATGATAAATCAAAAGGGCTAAGATACTAGCAAATATTTTTATATTAAAAAAAACTCATGTTTTTGTTTCTTTTAACATGCTTTGATTTTCATGCTGATTTTTAAAAAAAGAAAAGAACAAACCTACAACACTCCATAAACTACAAAATCATATATTTATTTCTAAACATTTCCATGTCTAGTTGGTGCCCAGACTGAAGCCAGATTGCATGATTATACAGTATAATGACAGATTCCACTTTATATCTTGCTCATTTAGTTCATAAAAAGGAAGATATGCATGTGATTGAAAAAAATAAACCAATCTGGAAAAGAACCTACCAAGCAGAAAATGGTTTGCATGATTAACCACAAACAGCAAGTCTCTCAACCCATCAAAATAATCCCCGGCAGTTTTGTGATCCACACATGCAGTTCTTCGTTCTACGAGAACCTGAACCACTAGATTCAGCTCCGGCAACACCATAGTCATAAGTCAGTTCTGTCATGGGTGGAATATGCTTCAGTGCAAAGAACATTATATGTGGGTGTCCATCATCTCCATGATCATATTGAACTGGTTGCCAGAAGACATTGGGTGAGCAACTGTGGTTCATGAAACGGGAGACATTTCCCATGGTTTTTGCACTTATCTTGATAGGCAGTGGCTCAAATTCATCAGCCGATACATACGTGCTATCTTCACCTATCAGTTCAGGTCCACAGTTCCATTTTAAAGTCTTCTCACCAGGGCATACAGTTTGAAAAATGTAATCATCTTCACTATCATTCAAATTAACTTTGAGCTCATCAATCACCTCGCCAGCATACTCACATATAAATGAACCAGCACGAACAGGTTCCCAGCAGCGAAGACCCCAGCCTCGATTGGTGGTCCTGAAGACCTCAAAATGTAGCCTGGCCCCTTTTTGGGTCACTCTGTTCCGGCAATTTGTAGAACAGTTGCAAGATTCACCACATTCATAGATCATTGGTTTGCGGCATGACAACAATCCTAATGAACTGTAGGGTAAATCACCTCCATTATGTTGTCCACAAGCACAACTGGCATCACCAGGCAGGCAAACACTCTGGCATCCACAGCCCTGCAACTTTTTCATAGAACTGAAAGGCCTCAAGTATTTGACCTGATTAGTATAGGTGAAATGTCCAGGTCCTTTCTCATGGTCTACCTCATTGACAAGACAAACTGGCACAGTTTCAGCCTTAGATGACAGATCAGCTAGTAGAACACTGCCTCTGGTAGCAGGATTATCTATCCATCTCTGAGTCATCTTCCATAATGCAGCTCCATCACGCTGTCCAGGTTCACGCAGCAGCTTGTACTTGAAGCAATGGATACCAGACCTTGTTTTCTCCTTCCAGGACTCATGAATCATGTAGAGGCCATCATATATGTAAATTTTCCCAGTTAGGCAAAATGGATCCTTGAAGCCACGTGAACCCTTATCACATTCTTCCTATGCAAACTCCTCTCAAGAGCTAGGTTACCCCTCTCAAGCTTCTGGTCATGCCTCTCTTCAGTATTCCTACTATTTCCCCTTGACCACTGTACACCAGCACATCTGTGTCATCATCCTCATTCTCATAACCTCCTGCAGAGACGATACATATGGCTACAGAATCCTCATCATTTTCAAATTTAGTAGTCATGTAATCAATGCCTCCCATACTAGGTGCATGCAATCCAATGATACACAGCTCCATCCTGAAATAGAAAATATCCCCTATTTCAACTCCAGGTACAGTTCCTACCCTCTTGCCCGTATTCGCCCTGATGTTACTGGCCATCATGATGGCACCAGCCTTCAAGTCTGCACGTCTGCTAGCGTCCTGTGTTTCATCCATCTGCAGATGTCTTGGCACGGAGTGCCTCAAAGGCCATGTGAACTGCTTCCACAATCTCCCCTGGGATTGGATGAAGATGACAGAAAGGCAAGCTCTTTGCCAGCAACAAAATTCTTGTATGTGGGCTTAGGGCGCTTTACCTTACCATTTGAGCCATCACGACCAGAACCAGGAGGACGACCTCTCCTAGCCTTCCGTTCAGATGCCAAAGGTTGGTTACCTGAGTAAGGGTCACCATCACCATCAAGTGATATGCTTGACCTTGTCTTGTATGCAGAGATAGGGGTGGCATCAATGGCACCATTAGCACTGGTGCCTGTATAAGAAACACCATTTGCAGTGGCACTGAAAGTAGTGAACGATCCAAAGGCAGGAAGGTTCCCTGCACCAAACCCTGCTGGAAATTGACCAACCGGAGTGACACAGACCAATGGTGGTGTACTTGATTGATTAACATTGACTCCCATGGGGGCAGGGAACATTGGAGCTAAAGACCTTAATGGCTTGGCATCCAGGAGCACCTGATTAGGATCAGGTACGAAATTCGAGGCCCTGTACATCTTAAATGTATAGAAGATTCCTGCCAAAGAAAGCAAAATCTTAGTGAACATAAGACAATGAAAATCCTTAATGGAGTAAGCAAAGACTCAAACTTGAGTTAATCCTCAAGAGCGTTGGTGTAAACAAAATTAATCCTTGAGCTGCATCCCAGGGGAAAAAAATGTGTGCTACTGTAATCAGCACATGAGCTTCAAGCACCATTTTACAGTCCGGTATACTTTGTCAACCTACTACTTTGCATAGTTTCTCAGTGCATGATGTGTTGGCAAAAGTACTTTTAAAACCAAATATTTGCCAAATTAAAAACTTGAAAATTCCAATACAATTTTTAGAGCTCCTTACTACAATAGTTATTTTCTATCATAAGTCATTATACTGTGATTGATTATCACAAACTCTATGTAATGTAACACAAAATTATTAGCCATTATGAACACATAACCCACAACCATGCCAAAACCAGACACATACAAGCAAACCTCATGCCCTTGTGGCCTTTGAATCCTATCATCCACACCAACCAGGCAACCAAACCAACAAGTGGGAGCAGAGTTCCAATTATAGAACCATTAGTGAATTCAATGTGGTTATGGACTGTGGTCTCCCACTGGTAGGCCTGTTCATGGTTTGGTTCCAAACCGTTCAACCCACCAAGCCAACTTGGACCAAACCGCAATACAGGTTTCAAATGGGATGGATTAACCCGTCCAGAAAACCATTGAACCCATCAACATCACTCGCTGCACCATTGGGCACGCTGGCTAGCGCCGGCAACGGACACGCCCACCAAGGCGCTCATGCGCCGCCCGTCCATCGGCTGCACGGGGCTGCTCGTCAATAACGCCATGTGGCGTGACCTCACCGCCTTCCAGATCAGTGTCCTTCTGGCACTGCAGTACCGCGGCCTCGACATCTTTGGCATCAATGAGAAGGCCAACGGCACCATGATCTTCAATGTTTTCGTGCATACACTTGTAACAGGATCAGATCCGATCCGAATAGAAATAGCTAGGGTTTGGGTGCTCGGTTTCGCACAGCAGTAACGGAAGAAAAGGGGTGCGCGTACCTGGTAGTGGGTGCTCGTCGCCGGCGAAGGTCACGAAGATGGAGACCTGAGCACGTAGGGCGGCGGCGGCGGCGGCGGCGGCGGCGGCGGCCCAGTCGTCGCCACCACAGAGCGCACACGACAGGCACGCACAAGACAAGGGGGAGAGAGAGAGGGGAGCGGGGAATGCTGGGAGGCACTGGGTCGGAGATTGTGGTCTGTGGAGAACAAAAGCTGGCCGCGGTCAAGGTTCCGGTCCGGGGCCACTGCTCTTTTATTATTATTGTTACACCACTGCTCTTTTATACTAGACCTGAAAAATACGACTATGCCCGGTCCGACCGTGAAAAAGCGGTATTTTGTTAAGCCCACCATGATATTTTTCCACCTGTTTAATCTATAACTATTATTATTTTTTCATAAAGTTCAGCTAACAAGTACTCCTTCATCCACAAAAGATCGCAATTATCGCTTTTTAGAAGTCAATCAGTTTAAACTTTGACTAAAATTATGTAAAAAATTACTAAAATTCATGATACAAAATAAATACCATTAGATTTATTATAGAATAAATTTTCATAATAAGTTTACTTAAAGACATAAATGTTAATACTATTTTCTATAAACTCGATCAAACTTGAGTTAGTTTGATCAACACGCATCCTATAATTAAATTCTTTTATGGACAGAAGGCGTAGTCAATAAAAGTGTTCCACTAGATAGATATAAAAAAAAATCCCTTGTCTAATCCTACCATCGTCTTGTTTCTCTCCTTCGACGCTTCTCTTTCTCCCCCTCCTATCTACGTTGTCTAGACGCCAACAGCGTTCAAATAGGGTCACTGAGGGTAGCTCCAACAATATTAAAAGAGTTAGCTTAGATTTTATTAAATAAAGAGAGAAAATGATAAGATAGCTCATCGTGAAGAGCTAAACTCGTACACTATCTTATAATTAATGTGTCTATACTTATAAGTTTTTCTATGCTAATATATTGTTTTTAGTTTTTTAAATTTATATAAGTTAGCAAGTTAATCCTATTATTGAGATTGCTCGGATGATGTATAAAGCTTTTTTTTAGCCTCATCGACTATCGCACCGTGCTTTGCTCACGTATGGGGGCTGACAAAACAGGCTATGCCATGTTCGTTTCGCTGAAATTTAGCTTATACTGATGATTATGCTGATTTGTTGTGAGAGAAAAAACATTGCTCGTTTACTAAAAAGTACCGTTGAAATTTAGCTTATGTTGACGATTATATGTGTTAGCAGCTGCAGCTGTGGCCAGCACGGAGGCGGAGCGAAAACACTTAGGCTGAAGATTAAAGAACAACCGACTCAGCCTGTTCGCTTGCTCATAAACGATCGTAAATTTTCAGCCGGGAACAGTGTTTTTCTCTCACACCAAACCAGCCAGCAGTAAATAATTCACGATACGATACGGCCTCTTGAACAGGCTGTAGTACGGTCCAGATGTCGAAAGTGGCAATTGACAGTGGCCACTGCCATTGTCTCGGTTTCAGACACCAGGGATTCCAGATTCAGGGCGCGTTAAACAGCACGCAGGCAGCCCGAGTTCATCAGCCAACACCCAACTTGATTACACAGTACGTACTCCACCACAAATGAGCACTACACGGGTCATATCATATCAGTTAGGCGATGGTATGGTATGGATGATCCATTTCCTTGCAAACAAGACCTGGACATCTCCTCCGGTGCTGCCTGCGCAGCTGCTTTCGCCTGCTCGAGAAGATCCGACGGGACCTGTATGCCAGGAGAGCAACGAGTTCAAAACACAGGACGAGGCACGGGCCTTCAAGGATTGCAAGTCCAGAACAACATCAACGGTGGTGGGCTCTTTCTCTCTGACGTGGACGGTGGACTGGACGCATTACCTTCTGGTGCTGACTGTTTGATTCGTCGCACACCCAGCTCAGCTCCACCTCAAAAGCTTCGTCATGTACTCCGTAGATTGTGAACTGATCTTACATCAGTTGGTTTGTAGTGCAACTTGCTCATCCGGGTGGTTTAGGTCCTCGACTTGGCACGGGTCGATTTGGCACGGATGCTCGTATTTTCCTAAATTTATTTTAAGATTTAACAGCGTTATGCACGGGTCAAGATCTACCAGCTTAGTCCTTCGGAGATGCTCATAGGGGTAGGATTTGCGTACGTGTGTTCATAGGGGTGAATGTGCGTGCGTGTTATGCTCATATGGATAAGGTTTACGTACGTGTGTTCACAGGGGTGAGTGTACGTGCAGTGTTGTGAACGTCTATGTCGTACCGTATAATTTAAAAAAAATGTATTTAGTAGATTCTGCATATGAAAGGAACAAGGGTCAGCACAGGAGGAGCCACAGAGTCACAGAGAGGGTGGGGGGGGGAGACTCGAAACTTGCACCGGTAGATTATGCTGTTGAATTTGTTGTGGGGTACCTGTAACATGAAAGTTAAGATCAGCTTTCAACTAATAAAAAGTTCTCTCTAAGAAATGGATGGTATCTTTTGAGAGGACTGTCACTAGCGCCAGCCCCCTTGAGAGACGACAAATCTAGTACATCACAAGAATCTGTGCCAAAAAAACAACCCTATGCTAGAGTGCAAGCACTATTGTTTTGCCAACGTGTACGAGATCCTAGGCCTTGTTTAGTTGACGAATTTTTTTGAGAAATGGTACTGTAGCATTTTCGTTGTTATTTGATAATTAGTATTCAATCATAATCTAATTAGGCTTAAAAGATTCGTCTCATAAATTTCGTCTAAACTATGTAATTAGTTTTATTTTTTATTTATATTTAATGCTTCATGCATGCGTTCAAAGATTCGATGTGACAGAAAATCTTGAAAAATTTTGCAAAATTTTAGGAACTAAACAGGCACTTAGTGAACTCAAAAAAGGAAAATGTCTCAGACTAAAATCTCCATTAACATGGATACAAAATATTACTATAAACTAGCAATGCAAACTTAGAGTGTTCTATGGGCAAATATGTAGTCGTTTCGATTCCCTAAAAGAGGAAAAAAAACTAATCATTAACTAACAACAACTGACATAGGAGTATTTGCTCGAAGTCAAGCAAGGGAGAAAACAAAACTACTGGCATCTTTGCAGCAAGTCATCACAGAACTGACAAGCTTTCAGTTCGTTCCTTTGCATCAAGTCATTACTGGACTTAATAGACATGATTCAAGACATAGTACATGTACTGTATATCTTTGCAACTTCAACAACGCCTTCCCAGCAGATTACCTCAGACAGGTTCAGTTTTTCTATCTCCCTGTAAGCTAATATCCACGACATTCAAATTAATCAGAACCACTTGAATAACACAGACAATCTGCTAGTGCTAATGATTCAATCATTATGCACATTCAGTCATTGGCCTAGTTCGTTTCGCTGAAATTTGGCTCTGCTTGATGCTAATTTGTTGTAAGAGAAAAACATTATTTCTTTCTTTGAAAAGTACTGCTAAAGTAGTGCTAAAAAACAATACCATTGTCATCAATTTCCATCTCTTCATATCTCCATTAAGGCATTAACCCTGAAGCCCTTAAAGATGCTAGTATATTGACCGGAGAAAATGGTTTGCTATGTGAATTAAGTTGTTCATCCATTTAAAAAACTACACGAGGACAACTGACTTGGCTAGGAAGAGGTTAAACTCGACCATAATTCTTGGGCTTGGATGACATGGAGTCATTGTAACCAGTGTGTTTTTGTGGCCTTTCTCCTAGTTTGGTTAGAACTTTGCAGGTTTGGAGCTCGCCCTTGAGGAGATGGTTTATTGCAGGGGCTTGTGGCTCGTGCCCATTTCTTCTCTTCTTGCTCTGGAGCCTGTAGGCAACCAGTAGGTATCTGGTTTCTTGGTTGAGGTCATTTTTTTTTGGTAAGTATAAAGTGCGAAAATTTCTAGATCATTGGGTATGTGGGCGCGTATTCTAAGGGTTCTTGCTTTCCTTATTAATACAAAGATGCGTGGCTCTCCTACATGTTCAGGATTTTTTTTATAAAACTGCAACCTTAATGCCAGTTTGCTGTCGAGCTACACCATGGAGTCAGTTTGTTAACACAATCTTCACCAAAAACCAGTAAACTATTTCGATTTGTTAGAATTCTTTAATACATTCATGTACAGTACCTTTTTTTTCAAATGGAAGCACAGGAGGTGGCAGGCCCGGATACATACTGCCGCAGGCCGGCAGGGGGATTGGGGACCAGGCCACGAGAACATCGTTCGAGTTCGGGTCCCTCGGGTTTAACCCCTAAATGCAGGGCAATTGTGATGCCCTGTTCCGTGTATCTTTAGCTCTCGAATTGGAGGTTGAATTGGTACTTGTAATTAGATGGCGTTGGATTACAACATTTGGTTGTCTAAATGGTGTCCGAATCGGTGACTTAGAATTGGACGCAGTTTGATAACAACAACGTCAATCAGAACTAGGGTTACTTCCCCTGTTTTTTTTTAAAAAAATATAGGCCTTGTTGGAATGTTGTAATATTAGAGGGGTGTTTGGGACTGCTCCGCTTCTGTTTTTGCAGCTTCACTCTAGCGCCATATTGCTAAACATTTTCAGCTCCAAAAACTCCGCTCCAATAAAAAGGTAAAGTTGGATGACAACTCCACGTTTTCTCTGGAGCACATCAAAGGGTACTCCAGTTTTTAGAATTTTATACTCACATATGGAGTTGAGGAGTAATTACATGCCGCTTATTACTCACCGGTTCACTCTACCGTATGTTCGACTCCCCTGGCCATGCACGCTCGCGACTCGCTGTCGTGCTCCAGCAAAGAGGAAAAGGTGAGATCGTTGGCTGGCTGGGCTGCCCGGCCTTTGTGCCTTGAGTGGCCTAGTACGGTCAACATTCTTATTCCCTTTTCAAATTATTCAATTTTTTTATTTCCAACAAGAAAATAAAA